CCTGCATATCAGACATTTACATTATGATTCATAATAGTAGCAAAATTACAGTTATGAAGTAGCAATGAAAATAATTTTATGGTTGGGGGTCACCACAACATGAAGAACTGTATTAAAGGGTCCCTGCATTAGGAAGGTTGAGAACCACTGCCCTAAGGAATGACAATAAAACTTTTCCAACAGCTGAATAAATCTGTCTCCATTAAAAAAAAAAATCTTTAGATTCCTTCTCCTTTCTGCTTTCCTTCTCCTTCCCTTCAACTATTTCCTAAGAAAGGAAAATACTGTATTAAAATTGTAATACTCAAGTCACATTTGACTTCTGCAATTACAAGAGGTGCTCAGATGTGACCTGTATTCATCTTTTGTTATCAATATATATTGAGTATTATAAATTTCAATACAGTTTTTCCTTTCTTAAGCTGTGCATATATATTTTTGGCACCCTCTGTATACATGGATCTGTTTCTGGGCTATTTTATGCCTTTATATATTCTTCTACCCTGGAACTGCTTCCTCACTATTTTAATTACAGCCTTATAGAAAGACTTAAAACAGAAATACCTTCCCCCAAGCACACACATCCCTACCTTAATCTTATTTTTCTTCTCAAAATTGTCCTGGCTCTTCTAAGCCATTTTTGTGCACAGGTGACATGACATCATCTGACTCATTTTTTAGAAGGACCACCCAGGCTGTTGTGTCAGGAATAATAATGATGATGTCAGAGAAGAAGGAGAGAATTGCTAGAACTCCATCCTTAAATAGATGAAAGGGGATTGGTGGCCAGGAGAAATAGGAGGGATTAGCTTGGAGAGCCACACACAAAATTCATCTGGTAATAAAAGCAGAGAATATGAGTACAGATGCTAATTGGTGTGGCAGAGAGAGTCTGGGAATTTTCTGTTTGCTTTAATCTCACTGGAGTCATCAGTTAAGAGTGAGGATGAGAAAGGAAATGTTGAGGATTTAAGAAAAAAAAGAGGAGCATGTATAGAATCATCGTCAATAGGGAAGCGGTCAAGTTCTGTGGTTGTTCAAGTGAAACCAGCTGGCATGGCTGTGAGTTTCCTCTCCAGCCACAAACAGCTGCAGAAGGTTGGATTTAATTAGGATTCTGTTGCTGCTAATTGCGTAAATAGAGTAAAAGATGGAAAAAGGAGTCAAAAATGTGGCTATGAGGGAGCAGTTACAGTGGTGGACAATTTAAGTGGGGTGAAGAAGGGAGTCAAGACATGTGAGCAAGAAACAGTGAAAAGTAGAATCAATGGAGGGAAGGCTCCATGGGGTCCGTGGATTGTTGTGATCAGGGAATAAGAGGGAAGGGATCTGAAAAGATGGGAAGGAAGCAGGGGAGAGAGAGTGGGATACACAGAGTTGAGATTATGAAAGGGTCACAATTATTGGCAATTACAAGGTCAAAGTGGTGCACAAAGCTAGCATCACAGTGCACGGCCCATGCAGCCACACAGGGCCCTGCCCTCAGAGGGCCCACGCTTGGTTTGATGTTCTATTGTTACCACCTCAAAGTTCCTAATAATTTTTTAACAAGGGAGCCTATACTTTTATTTTACCCTGGGACCAGCAAATTATATAGCCAATACTGGTGGTGAATAGGGAGAGAGTGGCTGAAGTAGGAGGAGGACAAGATCACTGGTGGAGAAGAGCTTGAGAAACTGAGACATCGGGGTGTGGGACTGTCTATGCAGGAATTGAAATCATCAAAAGTTTGGACAAGAATAGTTTTGGAGATAGCAACAGTGAGCTAGGAGCTGAAACCTAGAGTAACGAGATGCAACAACCCAGAGGTCAGCAACAGTAACAGGTAGTAAGGAATATAATCCAATGACATGAAACTCAAAGTTGAGGATTCAAGGAAGAAGGAAGGCAACACTGAAGAGCCCTGACAGCAAAGGGCAATAGCTTCACCTCAGGCCCCCCAGTGAGAGGGCTGTGGGATTAGGACGTGGGTGATAAGGATGCCCAGGAAGCCTGGGGGTTCTTATAAAGATGACAAACAGGGATAAAAGGCATAATGAGATTCGCCCAGTGCATTCAAGGCAGAGAGAGTGGAGGTAAGATGTGAGTGCTGGGGGTGTTGGGGATAGAAGGCATGGGGAAGCATGGTCTTTTTACAGGTCTTTAGTATAAATGCACACTGCAAAAACTATGTTTCTTTTAAAAATTTCACAAATGGCATTTATAAAACATTTAGAACAGTAGGCATTACAATGAGTTTTATGTTTACCCAATAATAATCTAGTCATGCCTCAGCATGCTCTAGCTGCTATAATAAAATGCCCTAGACTGGGTAATTTATAAATAATAGGAATGCATATCTCAGAGTTCGGAAGGCTGGTGAGTCCAAGATTAAGGTGCCAGCAGCTTTGCTGGCTGGGTGAAGACTGTTCCTGGTCTATGATGGCTCCTTGTTGCTACATCCTCCAGAGGGGAGAAATGGTGCGTCCTCACATAGCACAGGGATAGAAGGGCAGCCCTCTGAAGCCTCCTTCATAAGGACATTGATGTCATACAGGAGGGCAGAGTCCTCAGGACTTAATCACTTCCCAAAAGGCCACAAGGTGCCATTTCTTAATAGGAGATTAAGTTTCAACATGAATTTTGGAGGAACACAAACATTCAAACCATAGCATTATACACAGCAGATGTTAATCTCACTGTTCTATAATCTTATAGCAGTTTTTGGTAAATAAATACAGTTATCACACATTCAATAAATCAATAATAACAATAATAATCTTATAATCTTAGCGCATTAGTTCACTAAAAATGCTTTGAAAATAAGACCATATTTGAGCATGTCTGCCTTTCCAGCTTGAAGTATTTGACTTTTAGGCATTTAACACAGAACCTCTGTTTGTTTTATTCTTTCATGTACCTATAGTGAAGATTTTTCTTATGTTGATAACCCCACAATGTAATTAAGAATAAATTCATTTATGAATTTAACATAGGTTTGTGATAGTTCAAAGAAACTACATGATCAACTAAATGGAACACATGGATCTTGTTTGGATCCCACGTGAACAAAACTTTTTGAGGGCTGAAGCAGGTGGATTACTTGACCTCAGGAGTTCAACACCAGCCTTTGCAAGAATAAGACCGGTCCCTACTAAACTAGAAAAACTAGCTGGGCTTTGTGGTGGGCACTGTAATCTGAGATACTTGGGAGGCTGTGGCAAGAAGATCACTTGAGTCCAAGAGTTTGAGTTGACTGTGAGCTGTGAAGCCATGGCATTCTACCCAGGTGACAGAGTAAAACTCCATCTTAAAAAAAAAACAACAAACAACTTATGTGAAAAGAAATTTTTGACATCTCTTTCCAGACTGTAAGATACTTTAATTTGTCACATATGGACAAAGATTTGCATTGTATAAAACTTTATATTGTTTGTCTTGTGGTTTGGGGATGTCAACGGGCTTATTCTGGCTTCAGGAAACCCCACCAAAAACATTGGGATTTGAAGTCACTTGCCAAAGCCTCCAGAGAATTAGCAATGAAGTCTCCTGCAGTGTAGTGTCTGTATCTTAAAGCTGCAAGTAGCTACCTTATTTTACCATTCAGGCAAAAGATTAGTCATTTTATTCTTTGGCATGGGTGTAAGCAGGGTAGGGGGAGGTTAGGATAAATCAGATAGTTTCAACCTCATTCTAATATATTTGATTCTCATTTTTTAATTTTAATATTTCTGTGAAATTAGGACATGTCTAAGACTTGATGAAAATATTTAATGCATGCATTTTTCTCCTGGAAAGCTTTTGTTAAATTAATAATATATCTCAGCTCGGCGCCTGTGGCTCAAGTGGCTAGGGCGCCAGCCACATACACCTAAGGTGGTGGGTTTGAATCCCCAACCCGGCCCGCCAAACAACAATGATGGCTGCAACCAAAAAATGGCCAGGCGTTGTGGCGGGCGCCTGTAGTCCCAGCGACTTGGGAGGCTGAGACAGGGGACTCGCTTGAGCCCAGGAGTTGGAGGTTGCTGTGAGCTGTGATGCCATAGCACTCTACCCAGGGGGATAGCTTGAGGCGCCATCTCAAAAAAAAAAAATAATAATAATATATCTCATCACTGATCTTATCTTCTTAGAGTTGAAGAAATACAGAAACTTATACTATTTCTTTGAAAATGACTAGATCGGGTCTGTTATCTAAAATATAATTAGACAGTCTTGCTGATGGCTTCTGTTCCAATGAGAAGTGAGAACATAATACATCACTTCCTTGGAAAAGAATTCCCAACACTCTCTAATTTAGTTACACTATCTCTAATGTCGTCCATGACAGGTATGGCTCAAAGGTACTGTGCACATTGTATCAACTTAGAGTCAAGAGAAACAGCTAGAGAGGAACAGCAGGACTGTGGAAGCTGTAAGCCTCTCCTTGTCCTCTTCACAATCTCTAGAAGTTCATCATCAGAATAAGGGTCCCCATTTCAAAAGCCCTGTTTCTTTCAAGTTCTCACAGATGAGAGGGCCTGGAAATTAGTGCTGTGGTTTGGATGTTCCCGCCAAAGCTCAAGTTGAAACTTAGTTGTCATTCTAGTGGTATTAACAGGTAAGATCTTTAAGAGCTGATTGGGTCATGAGGGCTCTGCCCTGCTGGATGGGTTAGTGCTGTTATCTTGGACGTGGGTTAGTTACTGAGAAAGTGGGCTCCTGATTGGTCCCCGTCCTTTCTCTTTCTGTCTGGCCCACGCTCACTTGCCCTGCCACCATGTGATGATACAGCAAGAAGGCCCTCCCCAGCTGCAGCCACTTGATCTAGGACTTTGTAGCCTCCAGAACTGTGAGCTGAATAAACATCTATTATTTACAGTTCATACGGTTGTGATATTCTGTCATAGCAGCCGAAAATTAACTAAGCTTCTTTCGGGGTCTTAAGATTGATAAAGATACTGCATACAAAAATATAACTATAAGTGCTACCTGGATTTGTACGTAAAAACATTATGGCTCCTATTGTCACCTTCCTACAGGTTTAAAAATTTTGTCTACACATACCGGATCTTCAAAGAGAAGTATGGGTATTACAAGATACAGGTAAGAACACATATGGGTGCTTGGAACAACAAAAGCAAAAAGGTTGGGGAGGAAAACCCAAGATCGGCTCTTGAACCTGACACGTGAGGGCATTCTAACAAGGGGAGCACTTGGGTTTAGAGTCAGATCAATAGTTAGCCTGGTATTTCTCTGGGAGAAATAAGAAGGCACTAGAGTTGGGATCCACTTTTAAATAACCATGGCCCATGGCTGTCATCCAACTCTGGTTCCCCCAGTGAAGAGATGTACCAATCTGGCCTCCAGGCAAAAGCTCTATTAAACTGGAAGACTAAACAAGGACACAGGATGGGAATAGAAAGAGAAGGGAGGGTGGGGAGGGGTCCAAATGGCCAGGAAGTGTGCTCTATAATAGAAGAGAATATAAGGCAAGCGTCAGATAGCTGGAAGCCTTAGGATTTGTTTAATTTTTCTGGTTTACTGAGAGCTAAGCACAAGAAAAAAAAAAAACCTTTTTGCTTTTGTTAAATTTAGCTCTCTGGCTGGGAAGTAAAGAATACGAAACATTACTAAATTTTAATCACTAACAGAGAATCCTGAAATAATCTTTCTGAAACACTTGTATGTAAGGGTAAGCAGACAAGACTTCTCAGAGTCTTCAATATGCTAATGTTTACTGTGATGTACCTGCAAGAGACTAGAATACACAATGATCCCCAAACGGATCAGTTACATAATTTTTCCCTTGCTATCGAAGACATTATTGAGACAGTTGGAAGAATTTAAATAAATTCAGAATTTGAATAAGATTGGTTAGCACTACTACGTCAAGGTTAATTTCTTGATTGTAATCATTGCAGTGGGGTTATGTCATGTCTATACTTTTCAGGAAATATGTAAAGTTATAGGAATAGCATGTTTGCAACTTAACTCTGAAAAAAATTAAGTATAAGTGCATATATACATACACGTGTCTCTCTGTGTGTATATATATATACTATATATTCACATATACATAGAAAGAGAATGAAAAGCAAATTACAAAATGTTAATATTTGGGGTATGAGTAAAGGATATAAGAATTTTCTCTTTATTATTTTTGCAAAACCACTGTGTGTGAAATAATTTCAAGATAAAATATTTTCTCGAAAGCAACTTATCTAAACGCATTTTTTTCTTTGCTGTGTATACCGGGGGAAATTCTAGATTATTCCTCAATACCCTGTTTTGTCTCTTATCTGGACAAAGCACAGAGGCCTTCAAGTCAGTGGCTCCAAAGTCAGACACAAGGGGCATTTCACTGGGGAACAGCTTTGTCCTCAGAGGCCTGGAGTGGGTGATGCTGTGGGCTGGAGGGGCTGCCCTACACGGACCCCCCTGCAGACAGCCTCAAGAGCAGCCTCTGCTCTGTAGGTTCACGAGACTACACATCGGAAAACCTTTTATCACCACTTTCTATCTGTGGCCTGAGGCATGGTGACGTGAAAACCCAAGTGCTGACATAGAAACCAAATATGTCAGCACAGGAAGAAAATTCTTTTCATCTTAAAATTATTTATATGAGGCTATGTTAGAAAATAGCAGTTGGGTTGTAGCTGGTAAACAGAACAACAGTTTAACTGAGTCATGTTGACAATCCCTACTTTCAATTTAAATTAGGACTTTGGGGGTCTTGTTTCACGTGGAGATTCTGAATTCAGCAAGTTTGCAATTTGTATATATTTTTTGCATTTCCCCTCAGAAGTCTGTTTGCAGGCTAGTTAGTCTACTCAAGTGGTAAAGCCTGCCGGCAAGGCAGTCTGACATAAGCTCTTTGCAGAGTGCTTTTCAAAGGTCCTCTACAAAAAGACCCTGGACAAACTCACCAATGATGGGGGCTCCTTCAATACCACTCACCGAGTTAAGGTCCCTGGGTTATAAATCCTCTGTACTCAGAGAGGCTCAAGTCAGAAGTTGGTCTTAAGAAAATGAGAGTTTCTGTGAATTCCAAGTAGTGTGAGCTCTCAAGTGTGAGTTGCGGGCCACTTATTTTCAATGTGTCACCTTAAAAGAAAGCCCCGAAAACCACTATTTTGAGAGGTGCCACAGTTCACACTCAGAACTGCACAGTGACAATGGTCAATCTCCTTTCTTGTATTTTCTCAGACTGCAGAAGGTTCTCGAAGACAAATCTTTCCAAACCTAAAGGAATTGGTCTCCAAATTTGAAAAACCAAACCAAGGGCTGATGTTTCCCCTCTTGAACCCCATAAACAGAAGCAGCCCCTGCTTGAGATGGAGAACATCGAAATTAGAGTTGGGCGACAATTACGGTAAACGCTCTCACACGGGGCTCAGAAAGAAATCTTTATCCCATTTCCACCAGGGACCTACTTCTTAGAATCAATATAGATGTCCCTTTCTAGGACGTTGTCTCTAAAAAGTGTCATCTTACTAAGAACAATTTCCATTTTGTCGAGAAGTGGTGTCCTCTAGCCACCAAGGTGGCCGAGGCTTCCTTGCCTGTGTGTGAACAGCTGAAGTCCTGGCTGAGAGCTGGCTTCATAAGCATTCTGTGAACTTGTGCAAAGCATTCAAGTTTGGAGATAAATGGGCACATGGAAAGCAGGTTTTTCCAAGGATAAAACCACGTCAGCCCATCTGCTGCTTCCCCAAGGCTCATCCTGTCCCATTTCGCTATTTGCTAAGCATGTATTTATAAAGTGTCAGATGTCAAATTATTGCAGTTATATCCCGACAGTGCTAAGCCCTGGTGAGAGATGGTGAGTAAACTTGAGTGCAGAGAATCCATGCTGAGGCCTCTCACATCCTATCACCAGCAGCTAGCTGCCCTTCCTTACCCACACCCTTGAAATCTGCTCTTAGAGAATTTAGGATCTGCGATTTGTAATGTAGTTTGATTTTTAACTGAGACTTTCAGAGACATTTAGGGCTTACTCCTGTTTTCCCATCTTGGAACATGTGGGTTTTCCCATGAAAGGGACTGCAGATATCAGGGAACTGGAGATGAGGTGTGAGCAGACGGGCTCCCCAGGAGGAAGGGCAGGGTGCGGAGAGCCCTGGGGAGCCTGCGGTCACGCTAGGCCCATTCAGCTCCGTCTGCAGCAAGGCCACCCTTGAATCTGTCACAACCACCTTCTCTCCTTCCCAGCAAGACTAAGCATGCAGCTCTAATGATAAAAGAAAACCCCTTCCCTACGAAATGTGTCAGTCTCCTCACACCCCCATGCAGGGGAGTGGGCACCCACGTACACACAAAATCGCCTTCTGTGGGTTCAGCTGCAGATGTAGCCACTGAAAGTTATAGAATAAAAAGGATAATAGGAGGCAGAGCCGGAAACCCAGGAATGTGCCCGTGCTGCAGCCCTTAGGCAAACCCTAAGGGTTTGAATTGCTGAGACTGTTTGGGTAGGTGGCCGGAGTTGTCTCAGTGATGATAAACTAACCACAAATCCCAAGAGGAGGACCCTTAGAGATCTGCCCTAAGAATGCGGCCCAGGTCTCACCTGACCCACTTTCTGTGTTCGGTCGGCACTGGCAGAGTGAAATCCTCAGCTACCAACGGGGAATATCCTCCCTCTGCCTCCTCAGAACAGGCTTCGGATCTTCTCACTCTGGGGGAGACCACAGGATTCTGCTGGGGAACGGTGGGGACTCTGAGGTTTCACTTTCAAAGGGACCCCCAGTTGGGCCGGGACAGCTCCCTGTGGTACCCCAGATATACCCCCAGCCTTTGAAGATGTGAGTCCGATATGGCATCAAGATCCCCCGTCCCTGGGGAGAGGCCTCCTTTCCCCTGAGTGCGGATGGCCAGTGTGACTTCTAGGTGCAGAGTTTCATGGCTGGTCTCCTACTTTCTTCCTCAGAGAACTCCCAAGACTATGTGGACATCTTGCCTTAAAGAGCAGGATGCTGGACGCAAGTGAGAGAAGAAATGAGGAACAGCTCTCACTGGGGAGACCTGCCGGCGTAGGTCTGGAATGCCAAACTCTTGCAGATAATTTGGACTCTCCTGGTCTGGGTAACGGGTGATGCTCTGTCCACCAGCATCAGAGGCCACTGGGAGCAATTTCAAGGCCCCCTTTTATCCCCACTCTTCTTTCTTGGAATGGGACAGCCTGAAGCTGTTGTCCTTGTCAAAGGACTACCACTACATCACAGCTGACACCTGCCCCTGCACCATCAGAGAGGCAGCTTCATGCAGGGAGAAGCCCTGAGTTCTAGTCCCGTGTGACTTTGGACAAACCTCTTCCTTTCTCGAGCTTTCAGTTTCTTTGTCTATAAATAAAACAAGTGGTTGAGTGGGATGACTGCACCGCCCCAGAGTCTCTGTTGAGCCTGGCTATGTCAGGTGGCGTTGGGTATCTGGAGTTGATGGAGATGTAGGCAGGATCCAAAGGGAGTCAGGGTCTCGGCCTCCCAGACAGCTAACAAGTTACCTGTAGCTGCTCTTACTGGACTTGGTCATGGTGAGCACCTTGACCTGCCCATGAACCACCTTCCCTCCAGCCCGGGTCACTCTTCTTCTCCTTGCCCTGGACACACTGTCTTCCCAGTGCTGTCGCTGCCACCTGAGCAGCACGGGGGTGGCTCTGTGCAGTGATACGTGGAGAGATCTGTAACACATTCCTCTCTCATGGTTCCTACTCCCAGCTAGGTCCTAGGTGTCAAAGCAAGGTTAGGTCTCCCTTGCATTCCCCCAATGTAGAATTTTGTGATGCACAGAGCTGTGCCTGCTTTGTAGAAGCACATTTGACTAGAAACACATTTCTGAAGGGTTTGTTAAACTGATTTCTTATGGCCCTTGAATTTTTCTGCCTGTTCAGAATGTTACTTAGAATCTGGTTAGTTTGGAATATACCAAATTTGACACCCTTTCCTTTACCTCTTTTTAAACCTTCCTGATTTATTTTACCCCACTGGTCTTATCTTCAAAGTTATTAAAGAGAGGAGCTCGGGTTTTGCAGAGACCATGAACAGACGTTGTGGCTGGAGTCCAAGGTGTGAGCTGTTGTGAGTTGGGGGTTGCAGCAGTCCACGGCTACCACTATGTAGAGAAGTAGTGAAATGCAGACAGGTCTAGAGAGCAGAGGGAGCCAAATCCTTTTGTTTGCTCAGCAGAGGACACCAGAAGCAAGCCCGCTCCCTGGGATCCAAGTCTTTGGCTCTTTCTTCCTGGTACTGAGCAGTATGTTCTGGTTCCCAGATTCTATAGCATTCCTCAGCACAGAAAACGTATTAAGGAAATATTTCTTGAATAAATGAATGAATCGGCTTATATAAAATGTGGTCACTTATTCTAGGTAGCAGAGCTTTGCCTGAACAGGACACAGTTCAAAGTCTAGTAGTTCAAGACTATTAGTTCAAGATCTTTAGATTAGAGCTCTCCTAGAACGGTGTTTGTTGTGGTGGCTGTGGTTTCCAGGCACAATCTTGGGCCCCAGTGGGCTTTAGTACATTTCTCAAACAAGCAAGCTACATTTGATAGTTAATGTTGAAGTCATGCTATAAATAACTGACATTTATTTTTTATTTATTTGTATTTGTTTTGAGACCGAGTCTCACTCTGTCACCCTGGGTAAAGTATTGTGGCATCATAGCTCACAGCAACCTCAAACGCTTGGGCTCAAGTGATCCTCTTGCCTCAGCCTCCCGAGTAGCTGGAACTATGTGCGCCTACCACAACACCCAGCTATTTACAGAGATGGGATCTTGCTTTTGCTCAGGCTGGTCTCAAACTCCTGTGCTCAAAGATCCACTGGCCCCAGCCTCCCAGAGTGCTAGGATTACAGATATGAGCCACCGAGCTCAGCCATCCTTGACTTTTTGTGTTTGTTTTGTTTTTAGACAGGGCCTCACTATGTCACCCTTGGTAGAGTGCTATGGCATCACAGCTCGCAGCAACCTCAAACTCTGGAGCTTAAGCCATTCTCTTGCCTCAGCCTCCCAAGAAGCTGGGACTACAGGCACCCACCACAACGCCCACCTATTTTTCCGGTTGTAGTTGTCATCGTTTGGCAGGCCGGGGCTGGGTTCAAACCCTCCAGCTCCAGTGTATGTGGCTGGCACCCTAACCACTGGGATACAGGAACCAAGCCCATCCCTGACATTTTTTTAGAAGACCCTGAACGGGTCACACAAAGAATAATTTAAAAATCTGGATATGTGGGATGGGAAGAAAGAAGACTTAAAACATTAGCAGCAATTTCAAGCGTCTAAAGTGCTAGTCTGTGAAAGTGGATGTGGACTCACTGGGCACAATGCCAGACAACAGAGCTTGGACCAATGGTTGAGTGTTTATGGGAGCCCAGTTTTAGGAAAACATAAGAAAGAATGCTAAACCCTAGACCTAGCCAATGCTCTCAGTCTGCCCTGTGTGGTAGTTCAAGAGGAATGTGATATTTTATAAGGATTTGAGAGAGAGAATTCCCGCTGTGAGAAGAAATTAGACTTCCTGACTGCTAAGGTACTTTTTAACTCAAGACCATCAGATTCTATCTACCCTGTTCTTGACAACGATAATAGGAATCTATCTTTCCTTTTTGAACTTAGGTATGGGTAGTTGACTTAATCACACTCCTTAGTTCTTAATTCACTATCACCATCAGTCCATACAAGAACCTTCTTTTGTTTTATTTCCTTTTTTTCTTCCTTTCATTCCTAATTCCCATTCCCAAAGGAACCATCTCTATACTATTTGGTATAAGCCTTTGGGTATGTCTGTCTTCTTGTAGAACACATAGTATTAGTTATGAATAAAGAGCGGGTGCCCCAGTAAACGTATATGCATTTTAAGAAAGGAAAACACTGGATTAAAATTGTAATACTCAATATACACCAATAACAAAAGACGAACGCAAGTCACATTCACGAATAACAAAAGATGAATACAAGTCACACTGAGCACCTCTTGTAGAAGTTAAATGTGACTTGAGTATTACAAATTTAATCCACTTATTTCCTTTCTTAAAATGCATATGCATTTTGGGGCATGCTTTGTACATCTTTGACATTTACATACATGATATGAAGCTATTGCTTCTCTTCTGTTATTTTTTCATGCAACATCATTTGGTCTCATTCCATATTGAGTGCCCACCTAATTCAGTGCTGCCAACTGCTGCACGCCATCCCATAGTATGTATATTTTGCTTGTTTTTATAGAGATAGACACCTAGGCTGGCTCCTATTCCCTGCTACCAGAAACATCACTGCGGTGAGCATCCTTGCATGAATCTTTGTATGGAACTGTGAGAGTTTCTCTAGACTATGTGTGTGGGCCCTAAAGTGTACTCATATTTAATCCCGATAAAATCAAACCCGTCTAGTATTTTTTCTTTGTACTTTGTGCAGTTTTTTGGTTCTTGTTTAAGAAGTCCTTCCCCACTCTGAGATCATGAAAAATTATCCTGTATTTTCTTTGATTGACCGTATCTTTACTCTCTGTGGTTAGGGTTTTAATAATGGCAAGATGTTTGCCTTTTTCACTGCCGTATTCCCCACTATCTAGAAAAGTCCTTCACATATATTAGATACTCCATAAATATTTGTTAAATAAATGATGAATCTGAGATTAACCTTTGTCTATGGTAAGACCTTCAACTCTGTATTTCTTCATATATGTCGAGCTAGTTCCTCCCCCATTTCAATCTGTTTAATAATTCATTTCTTCCCCTTCATGTATGGTTCCTCTGTGGTAATGTATCACAATTCTAATACTGTGTCAGGGCCCAGGACTGGCCAGGTCTCGGGCCCGGCTTAGGTAGGTTCCGGACATGGACCACTAAGCTACCTTGCTCAGGAACAGTTTCTTGTAGGTGCTTGAGGGCTTTCTACTTTAGCTGGAGAGAGAGAGAAACAGAGTATCTTAGAGAGAGTAAAGGTCTTCTTAGAACAGATAGCTCTTAGGCTTCAGCAGAGACACCGTGCTGGCGTTCTGCAGGCAGGAGAGGAGAAAGTCAGAGTAAGGGGATCCGTGATAGAACACGCATGCCCCCTGACTGCCTTCTCCTCCAGCCTAATATAAGGCTGAGCTCGTGCTTCTCACCACCACAGGTGTAGAGACTGCCAATTCACCAATGCGCTCATCTCGCGAGCTCACTCATGCTTGTTAGAACCAAATCTCTCTCCATGCCCTGTTCACCAAGGTGTTCCATTACAGGTATTTCTTATAACTCTCACTCCTCCTAGCCATAGGCTATACGGGCTGCTACATTTCCCCCCTTTTTATATACAAACAAAATAACTTTTAATGTGGTCAGAGCAGTTCTTCCTGTTATCTAGCCCTTTTCTTTCTAGGCAAAAGATGGTAATTATCAGAGTTCAGAATTCCAGGT